CTTGAAAGAAGAACTAAATAAGATACTGAATTTATAGAGGAAACACTAGAAGAAAGAAGAGCATCATTTTTGAAGAATAAAAGGATATTTTGCTGCCTCTGGGAATAATAAATGTGGGTTGAGTACAAGAGACAAAATTTCCTTTTAAAGAGGAAGTGAGGCCTGGAGAGGTTGGGTGGTTTGCCCAGGGTCACATAGAAGGTGGCCTGGTCAGAAGCGAGAGGTCTCCCCTGACATGTACAGGTCAGATCAATGCTGCCTCCTCTTTCTTTTCTGTGGCAGAATGAAAACCAACAGGTTTGAGTGAGGTAGAAAGACAGATACCCTATGCAGTCAAGAAGAGAGGGTTTTGTCCATTGCAGAAGCAGAGAAACTGAGCCACAGAGGGGTTTATTGCTATGGCCCTAATGGGGGTGATTTTGATCCCAAGGGGGCATTTAGTAATATCTGAAGATATTTTTTATTGTGACTGCAGAAGTTGTGGGGATGCTACTGATATTTCTTTAATAAAAGTCAGGTATGCTGCTAGATATTCGCAGTGTTTCCCAAAGTGTGGTACACATACACCCAGGGGTACGGGAAGAGTTTGATGGGGGTATGCATTGCACTGGAGTTTGGGAGTTTGGTGAGGATGTGCACTGCACCATGCTTAGCTATGCCTAATTCTACATTCTCATGAGTTCGAGGGGTACTCAGCGTTATGAAAATTATAGAAGGGGTACACATATGTCAAAAGTTTGGGAAACACTGCGAGCACAGGCCTTCCCCCACAACAAAAACTACCAAGGCCGTAGCCACTGGATAATAATGATATTTATCTGGGGACTATGTGGGTAAAATCCAGATTTATATTATTACTAGGAGCCCGTTACAGGAAGGTTCCTGCAAGTGGCCGCTCTGGCTGCCCCTCCTGCCCTGCCCTGCAGTACTTTCTCTCTGCAACTGCTTTATTTTCCGCTTCCCTTCCCTCTTCCTTCTATGCTGTCTTTGGTCTTCACTCCTCCCTCCCTCCACATATGCAAAGTAACTGCCACCTTTGTTTGGTTAATTTGCATACTTGCTCTGATTGACTATGGGCATAGCAAAGGTACAGTCAATTAGCATTTTTCTCTTTTATTAGTGTAGATTATTATTATTATTATTATTATTATTATTATTATTATCAGGAAGTTTTCACAACATAGATTACTATCAGTGCTCATTTAGCATCATGTACCCATCTATTCCCTGCAAACTCCTTGCCAATATTCAGTGCTAGACTTTGCAGTGACCATCCTAAGCAACTTGTCTTTGGGGCCCCATGCTTCTGCTCTTGCCTTTTGTCCCAGCTTCTCCTTTCCAGGTGCCCAGTTGGTGCCAGGCTGCTCATCTCCACTCCTCCATGACAACAATTTATCCCAGAAAATTCCTGCCTCCTGTCATTTTCATCAAGGCATGGAATGAAGTCAGGTATTACCCTCCCCAGAACATTTCTGTGTTATGATGCATCTCTGTTCCAGTACTTGTATCCTGTAAAAGGCACTCCCAGACTCAGTGGCTAGGCTGGGGGATGTTTGAGAAGAACTCCCCAGACACCTGTCACAGCCTCTGTTCTCCCAGTGGACTGGGCCAGCCCTGGGAAGCCACATAGCCTGTCCACCTTAGTCTGGCTAGACTGGCAACTTCAGAACATTTTCCTTCTGAGCTTTCTAAATACATCTCATATTTTGAAGCAAATCTCTTATTGAGAATTTTTTTTGTTGTTTTCTTTTCTCTCAGTCATTGTTTAACTTCACTCAGAAATTTCATGATAGATTTCCAGGACTTGTTAACAAGAGAGAAACTGCCTGAATAATTAGAAAAGTTTATTTTTTTCATTATTTATAAGAATATGTTTTTATTGATTTGAGAGAGAATGAGAAAGAGGGAGGGAAGAAGAGAGAGAGACAGAGACAGAGATAGACACACACACACACACAAACACACACATATCTCTATCTATCTATATCTATCTATCTATCTATCTATCTATCTATCTATCTATCATCTATTTATATATCTATAGAGAGAGAAACATCTATTGGCTGCCTCTGGTATGCACCCTGACCCCAGGATTGAACCTACAACCTGGCCACGTGCCCTGACCCAGAGATGAATCAGTGATTTTTCAAGTTAATGCTCATCCAGCTGAGCCACACTTACCAGGGTAACAGTTGACTTTATTATTTTTAAAATATATTTTATTGATTTTTAGAAATATATTTTATTAATTTTTTTACAGAGAGGAAGGGAGAGGGATAGAGAGTTAGAAACATCAACAAGAGAGAAACATCAATAAGCTGCCTCCTGCACACCCCCTACTGGGGATGTGCCTGTAACCAAAAAGTACATGTCCTTGACCAGAATCGAACCTTGGACCCTTCAGTCCGCAGGCCAATACTTTATCTTTATCCACTGAGCCAAACCGGTTAGGGCTTGACTTTATTTTAAAGAGTCACCTTTTTAATTGATTTTTGGAAGTTCAATATTTATTTTCTAAATCATTATAACTGAAGAGATATTGGAAAGATTCACAGAGCTCTTTTAAAGATGAAAAGAGGTAATAGTTGAGAAAAGATTGAAAATTATCAAATGTGTATTTTGTGTATGTAAGCAATGGTGTTGGTAAGAATGAAGATATTGGCCCCAACACCTAAAAAGTCCCCCTCCAAAAAGCAAGCAAAGCAAAGTAAACCATCCCCCAGATAGGTTTTATCAGTGCTAAATCTTGGAATTAGTTTATAGATTTCAAAATTAGAACTCCATAGCTTTTTATGATTCATAAAATGCAAAGCAATTTGTATTAGGATTATGTGATTAATTCAAAATTTGACAGCTTCCACTTGGCCAGCTGCCATTAGGGAAGTGTTGGGCTGGCGGCTTCATATTTGCTTCCCTTGCGCATTGGCTGTGGTTGGCAGTGGCTTCTGGATTGGTAAAGATACACATAGTGTGTGAGGAGCTTAGGCTGATGAGCAGGCCATTTTAGAATGCTCATGAGGGAATTCATTTATTTTCAGCCACTCTAGCCATTGCTTCCCTTCTCACTGCAAACCTGTCACAGTGACTTCAAGGGAGAACAAAAAAGGAAATTTTGTCTGAGAAACAGGAAAAATAGTGATTGACTGCAGGTTTAATGCATGTGGTTATAAATATTTCTTGCAAAGAAATCCTAAATTCTTTCTTTAGAATCTACTGTTTTCATTTTGCAATGTAAACTAACAACAGAAAGCAAAACTGCCTTTAGAAGTTAGTTTTTAGCTCCTATTTTTAAGCTCCACTATTTTGTAAATTCACATGTAGCTTAGTTATTAATAAAAACAACCCTTCTTATGGGCTAACCAAAAATTAAATTTCATATCATTCTCAGTCTCTTATTGATTGATTGGACAATATTGATTTTATTGAGCTCAAATAAAACTCATTATTTTTTCCAAAGAGAGAATTTTATATATAAAAATACCCTTCAAATTGGTGATACAAGAATTATTTTTGTTTAGTCTTTGGTGGAATAAAATAGCACATGGCTTTGTGTATCTTCAGGAATACTCTGCTCATGAGTCAGCTTTAATGTGCTATTAGCACCACGGGCAGGATCTAAGTGCTGTGCATATTAATCCAGTCCAGCATTGCACAGGACCTGGCATCGCTCTAGTTCACCTCCCATATCTGACCCCCACCTTCTCACTCATGGGAATTGTTCCCTCTCCCAGAGAGCTGCTGCAGTGCAGGATCTCTGTACCTTCAATGGTGCTTCTGGATCTCCTACAGAGAGCAGACAGGAGGCAGAGAAGCTCTAGATTTGGGGTCAGCAGACCTGGATTTCAGGGAGAGCTTTGTCACTGACAGCCTGTCATCACACTATTTCCTAACTTGTAAAGTGGCATGAGTAATACCCACCCTACTTATCTCATGTGATTACTATGTAGAGATAAAACACATTTTATCCCATCTAATAAAGAGGCAATATGCAAATTGACCATCACGCCCTCACACAAGATGGTCACCCCATGTGGTCACAAGATGGCCATCACAAGATGGCCAGAAGAGGAGGGCAGTTGGGGGTGACCAGGCCTACAGGGGAGGGCTGTTAGGGGAGACCAGGCTGTCAGGGGAGGCCAGTTAAGGGCAACCAGGTTGGCAGGGGAGTGGTTAGGGGGTGATCAGGCTGGTAGGAAGAAGCAGTTAAGGGCAATCAGGCAGGTGAGCAGTTGGGAGCCAGTAGTTCTGGATTGTGGGAGGGATGTCTGAAAGCTGGTTTAGGCCCAATCCCTGAAGGGTCCCAGATTGGAGAGGGTGCAGGCTGGGCTGAGGGACAACTCCTACTCAAGTGCATGAATTTTGTGTACCAGACCTCTAGTCTATAATAATAAAAGTATAATATGCTAATTAGACCGGATGTCCTTCCTGACCATCTTCCAGATGAAGCAGCTGGGTCGTGGGTACCTGCTGGCAGCCAGAGGGAAGCCAGTGCTGGCAGCTGGGGGAAGGAAGGCCTACTCTTGCATGAATTTCATGCATTGGGCCTCTAGTAAACAATAGAGTCATTTGGTGAGGTATGATTGTAATAGAAGCTGAGATTAGATAGAGTCATTTATCCTTTAACTCTTACTGTGTATGTGAAAATGGAGAGAAGCTGTGTCTTGTACTTTTTTTTTTTGGTGCTTCTTGATGTTTGTTTGTTGATTATAGTCACTGACCTTTTGTCCTGGTCACTCCTTAGTCCCTAGGCAAGAGATTCTTAACAATAAATGGTCTTTAGTATCATGTCATCTTTCACCATTTGTCTGAAGCTAAAGAAACATATAGTACTGAGGTAAGAATTTTCTTTATAGCACATGACAAGTTCAGAGAATTCTAGGCTATTACAAATAAAAGTTTGCTAAGTTTAAGTCACCATTTCAACAGCTCATAATGAACTGACATCTAAACTGAGGCAAATGACAGGTATTTGGTTTTAGCAATCAGTCGTGGTTGCTCACCATTGCAGACCCAACGCGGCTGACTTTGATGGGATTCCCTCGGCCTGAAAGGTCCATCTGTGCTTTGTCCATCATGTGCAGGCAAGCATCCAGGATGCCATCCTCAAACTATTTAGAAAAAAAAAAAGAGAAAATACTCAGTTCCACTCTGTAAGCAAGATATTCTCTGGCAAAAGACAAAATGAAACCGCAACCTAATATTTAGAAATGTGTATTCCTATATAGTAATTGCTCATAATTTTTTATACTTAATATTTCATACTAAAGTGGAATAAAGGAGATATCCTCTTTTATTTCTCAGTAAAATAAGTAAGAACTTAAAAGCAAGCTAGAGATAGAAACAGAACTACTGAAGAATTGATGTACTTAAGGATCATGGACTGACTTGAAGTTCTTCAGAAAATTGTACCAGTTAATTTAGAGGATCTCTCCAACATATTGGCTCCAGTGCCCAAGGCCAAGGCACAAATTATTTACCAAAGTTAGGCCAAAGTCTTGAGACCTCAAGAGTAACACGAGTCCCTGTGCATCCAGAAAAATCAATGGATCTCAGATATATCACAAGAAGGCACTTCAGGTCGATATACCATACCTTGCATGGCAGCGAATGTCAGTCTAAGGTTTTCCCTCTTTGGAGACAAGGTGGACTCAAAGAGAGGGCAGGACAAAGTAGATTATATTAATCAGGGAACAACCTAATAGGCAGTTCAATTTCCTTGGAGGGAGAAGCTAGCCATTTGCAACACTAGCCTTTTCTAAGAAAGGAATGAAGACAAAGTAGTAAAAAAGGACAAAATGGGAAGATTTCACCTGTATTGTACCTTACTGTACAGATTTTCCTGAGCACAGTAATCTTATAGTTATCCATGAAAGCACTGTGACAGAAACCACCATCTAAATAGCTAATTACCATGTAATAATTTATTAAGTCCAGTGAAAATACCAACTCTGCATGTACCCTAAACAGATGTGATGGATGCAGTAATGGGTAATGCCCTTGTTCTCCAGGGATAAAAAGAACTCATTATTCTGGTCCTTCTTAAGCAGCATCTCTCAACTGTGTCTGTGGGACACAATATCAAAGAACTGGAGAGGTAAAAGAATGATCATAGAACTGGTTGTTTTTCTGCATCACTACAAACTACTGGGTTAGTTGGATCTTTATACTGAAGGACCAAATTAATGAATTCTGAATGAGTAGAGACAGACAGTGGCTGTGTTCAAGGGTGACTACCAAAAAGATTCTGGCTGAGGAGAACCCTTTCCAGTCCTCTTTGCTCCCACCTTGGTTTATCTCTCTACGTCGTCACATTGGGAACATAGAGAGAATCACACTAGAGGTTAGGAATAGGGACCTAGAGCTAGGGCACCAGACAACAGGCAATAATCAAGAGTTGTATGCCACTTGGGCAGGGGAGAGCTTATAAGCAGGGAGTCAGACAGGTGTCCAAATCAGGGTAAGAAAACACAGGCCATGTTTGACAGGATGTCAGAAATACAGGTGGGCAGTGATTCCTAGAAGTCAGGGGGAAGGAGCAGGACACAAAGCCAAGTGGACAGGAACTGGTGATGACCTGGGTCCCATTGGTCAGTCTGGAGCGCTGGTGAGGGAAGAAGGGAGGGCTCCTATTGAAGTCAAAGCAAAGCATCAAGAAGCCAAGAACGTGTCATGCGACCTGGTGAGACCAGACTCCGTGAACTCTCTGCCCTGGGCATCAGAATGGTGCCCATCGCAATCATCTCAGCCAAGACTCCATGAGAAAGGGCACACTCACCCTCCCATGCTGCTGATGAAAAGTTGCATCTGAATCACAGGATATGCATTAATTTCTGGAAATATGGTAAAATATCCATTTGCTCCTTTGTTAAAGATACCAAACTGAAATAGTGCGAGTTATTCAATATTTTAAATGAAATCCATGTAAGATATTTTATATCTGGACAGACACTTGAAGTTGCAGCTGATAAAATGTCCTTAAACAAAAGCCTTTTGACTAAATGGTAACACCCGTTTCTTTTAGCTATATCTTATACCAATACTTTAAAAAGTTATTTCTTTGAGTTGGGCACACTCCTTGCGTTACCCTTTGTGTCATTATCAAGGCACCACTCCTTGCAAGGAAAGGGAAGCTCAGTCCCCTCCTGGTTGCAGGGCCAGGTCTGAGCTATGATATGTCACTGCATTAAGATGCCTCAGCACTTCTCCCTAGGATGCCACACTTTCTATAGACTCTGTAACACCACAATAACCTAAGACATGTGATTTCAGCTGATGAATTATGCAATTGCCTTTCTAAGTCTCTACTCCTAGGTTCTCTGTCTTGGAGTCTCAGATCCTGCAAAGCAGGAAATTATGCTTGTCTCATATTGACATATGGCATCCTCCTGTGATACCTGTGACAAAAATATTAAGCACAGTGTCCTTGACAATGACAAATTTTAAATGGCTCACCTGACCATAGCTCCAGCTTCTACTCCTGATGTTATTGAAGTCTCCATAAAAAATAACCCCGATGTCATTCAGGACATACTCTTCTTTCTCTCTATCATCTTCCAGGTACACAGCATCCTCTGCATCGGAAGGCAAACATAATGAACATTATCAAACTAGGCTGCAGTCATATGTTTCAAGGTTGTTTTGCTCCTAAACTGCAACTTAACCAACTAAATGAAAAATAAAAGTGTTTTGTTTCACTAAAGGTAATCCCTTTTGCCAATATGTAATTTAGCAATGGTGAACCTAATCAGTAGACAAGGTCAGTCTGTAAATGATGACATTTGTCAGCAAAATGCCAACAAATGCTGGCTCTTTAAGTTCCAAGCAGCACAATGAAATTGACAAGTCTCATTAAACCATTAGCATTCTGATGCATCCGTAGTTTCAGAATCAAAATTCTATGATGCAGTTACAATTCTGTAACTAGATAAAAAATATTTTACAACCTATTTGAAAGTGATTTTTAAAACAAATCTGGGGCATATTACAAGACCCATTGTCTGTCATGCCTGATTCTGTCATCACTGATGGGAAAAGGGAGGCTGGGGGTTGTTTCCTTTCGATGGATAATTGTGGAAGTGATGGGAAGGAGAAGCCCAACGAGCATCTCTGGTCACTTCCTCCATTGCAAGGACTTTTCCCTGTGGCTCTGATCTGAGGAAGGCTATGCTACCCATCTGCTACTTGGCTATCAATCTGGAACTTCTTTCCAGGGCAGATGTGGAAGCAGCAAAAGCATCTTTACCAAAGGCAGAACCATGCACTTATGAATTACACTCTGGCAAATTTTCATGTTTGGAAGAGGGTCAATGTGCATTTTGATTGGGGACCTGGTTCATTACATTTCTCTGGCCCTGCTCATACCTGCCATCCCTCTCACCTTTTCAGAGTTCTTTCCTCCTCATTCCCGAATAAGGCTTTTATCACTCTCTCTGGAACAGTAGTTATCAATCTTGGCTGCACATTAGAATCATTGGGGAGATTTAAAAACTTCTGGACTAAACTTAAGATCAATTAAATCCGAATCTTTGGGGTTGGGATGTGATCCAGACATCAGGGCTTTACAAATATTCATTTATTTATTCATTTATTTTAAGCTCTATCATTTTTAAGCTCAGTGATTCTGATATGAAACCAAAGTTGACAAAAAACAAACAAACAAACAAACAAAAAACAAAAACAAAAAAAACCCCTCTAGTCCTTGCTACTCAAAGACTGAAGGCAAGCACCACCTGGAAGCTTATGAGAAATGCAGAATCCCAGGCCCCTACTCAGACCTACCAAATTAGAATTTGCATATGAATAGCAGCCCCAGGGGATGTGTGCACAAATTAAAATTTGCAAAGTATTGCTCAGCCCAACCAGCTTCGATCCCCATTCTGGGCTGTACTATAGCTTTGATGGAATCCTTTGGAGATTCCTTGGTCTTACCTGCTCTCCAAGACTTTCCTGACCCTTCCTATTTCTGGTCTCTGCCTCTTGCTTTCCATGTACCTGGTTTCATGCAACTGTAAATACACACACACACACACACACACACACACACTCTTATATATATTCTAATGTCCAATAAACTGTATATATTTACACTGAACAATTTTATAATCAAAATAATAAAAATATTCATTGCACCAACATTCTGAGCCTCTCTGTGATCCCCAATCCCTGCCAGAGAACTGTTAATCTGCTTTTTGTCACTATAAATTAGTTTGCATTTTCTACAATTTTATGTAGAATCATACACGTTTGGAGGGGTCTGGCTTCTTTCACTCAGGTTAATTATTATTATTTTTATTGATTTTAGAGAGAGGAAAGAAGAGGGATAAATAGAAACATCAATGAGAGAAAAACAATGATTGGCTGAGCCTCTTGCACAAGCCCACTGAGGATTGAACCCACAACCCTCCATGTGCCCAGATCAGAATCCAACTGGTGACCTCTGGTTCACAGTTTGACAATCAACCACTGAGCCACACTGGCCAGGCTCAGCTAATTATTTTGAGATTCATTCCTGTTGTAGTGTGTAGCAATAGTTTATTCATCTGATGTCATCTTATCTTTCTAAAAAAATCAGTTACATGGCAAGCATGTGTCAACCTTCCCTGGGCTCTTCAAGTGTGAGCTTTGATGCCTCAAACTGCTGCCCTTGCTGGATTCTAGAGGCTGCAGCATCTAGGACTCTAAATGGAAATGACAGCTTCGTTCCAAGTGGATAACACATGAAGAAGTGACAACTGAGTTTGAGGTCAGTATTTTTTGGGAAAAGCATGAAAGAAGACTTTCATTTGAAAAGAAAATAACGTGAGGGTATAAGAGAGATGGCATTGACCGTTCACACGTACATGGCACTTGCCAGATGCTATCAAGCATCTTGACAAGAAAAGGCTACTCTTGTTTTTATTCTTTTGTAAAAGTGATTTAACTGTTGGGATTACTGTAATAATAAATATTTTAGCCAATTGGGTTTCAAATGCTTGTTGTTGAGATAAAAATTTTCTCATAAGACAACTGAGGTCAAGAAATGTCATTTAGGAAAATTTGTAACCTGTTTTCCTTATAATATGAGATGTTTATGGACTTATCCTTTAAGATATTATATGGCAGATTGGATTATAAAGCTACAAACATTTAAATTGGTATAAAAAGATATGAGTCAAAATGGATAGCCTAGAAAGAAATGTTATAATATATATTTCATATATATATATATATATCTGTGAAATTAATATATAATAAAGACACTATTGCAAATCAAAGGGAATGAGTATTAAATTCAGCTGAGAAAATTGGTTGCTTGGGAAAAGTTAATTTTCTGTACAAAAAAATAAACTGAAAATTAATTTAAATCTAAATTTAAAAATAGAAAGCATAAGAAATCTCAAATAAAACAAAGGTGAATATTTAGTCTCTAGATGAAAAAGTTTTAGCTAAACAAAAATAACAGAAAAAAAATCAAGAGAAAAATTAATGCATTTATTTATTATATTTATAAATATAAAACTTGATTTTCATATATAGTAAAATTTAAAGTATATAGCAAATTGGGAAAACATTTGCAGCAACAGGAAATGGTAGTAAAATTCCCTTATATGTAAAAAATTATAATAAGTTAATAAATGAGCTGATTGAGAAAGATGCAAATACAAAAATCATTAAAAAATCATAGTGTTGTTCTAGCTGGTTTGTCTCAGTGGTCAGAGCATTAACTAGTGGATTGAAGGGTCATGGGTTTGATTCTAGTCAAGGGCACACACCTCAGTTGCAGGCTCGATCCCTGGCCCCAGTTAGAACAAGTGTGGGAGGCAACCAATCGATATGTCTCTTTCACATCTTTATTTCTTTCTGTCTGTTTCTCCCCCTTCCTTCCACGCTCTCTAAAAAATCAGTGGAGCTGAAACCGGTTTGGCTCAGTGGTAGAGAGTCGGTCTGCGGACTGAAAGGTCCCAGGTTCGATTCTGGTCAAGAGCATGTACATCGGTTGCGGGCACATCTCCGGTAGGTGGTGTGCAAGAGGCAGCTGATCAATGTCTCTCTCTCATTGGTGTTTCTAACTCTCTATCACTACTCTCCCTTCCTCTCTGTAAAAAAATCAATAAAATATATTTAAAATAAATAAATAAATAAATAAATAAATAAATAAATCAGTGGAAAAATATCGTGGGGTGAGGATTAACAACAAATCTTAAAGTGTATAAAAATAGGTCAGCAAAAGGAAATTATTTCACAGATGAAAAAATGTGACATATATTCATAAAAACAATTTTAACTAAGCAATATTTGAAGAACTCAAAACTTTAAAAGGAAATACATATATGTATATATATTAATTTATTTATGCATTTAAGCTTAATACTCAATACCAATTGTGTGGTGAATCATTAATCTACTGATGAGATTGTAATATTTTTTGTTTATTTTTTCTAAATTTTTAAAATTTAGCCTTGAAAATATATATGTGGTCTTTGATTCAGAGTAATGAATTTATCTAATCCTTAGAAATAATACATAAAAATGTATTTATAGAGTTTGTTCATCAGAGCACTACTTATAATAGTGGAAAATTGGGGGAAATCTGAAATGCTTCCAAATAAATTACTTGTTCACAAAATAGAATAGTATAAACCATTAAAATATTCTTTGGAAAAATGTTTGAAGACAATGGAACTACACAGGTAGCAAGTGAAAGCTTAAATGTGAAACACAAAGTTATGTATAAAATATATATAATTATGTAAAAATAATTAAAAATTGAGATAATTTTGTAAAGATAACTTATGCACTCATCTATCTCTGTTATTCCTGCAGATTCCTTGAAAATACAGAAAATTAGATATACAGTAAGGGTGGAAATCAAGAAGGAATGACATGAGCACTTTTCTAAATAAAAGACATCAAAATGAAACATGAACATGACTGTGTAATAGGTTGGTGGCTTAATCACAGATAATTACTTCAAGCTATTTTAAAAGAGAGCAATTTCACTGTATACTCCCTGTAGAATATAACAAAAGAACAAGAAAAACTGCAAAATAACCAAACAAAGGAAATAAAAGAGGGCAAGCTGTTTTAGTAATCATAATATCCTAATAAATAAAAACCCATGGTCTGTAACATCCAAAATGACCAAAGGCTCAACTGACTGAAAGTCAGTCCTACAGTCAGTGTGGGCACAGTGACCCAGCACTGACTGCTGAGGGGGTTGCAGATTAGGCCCAGAGAGAGGCCCGAAGAGAGATGCAGGGTCTGATTCACAGCCTCCTTGGCAGCTGTTGATCAGCAGTTGCCTCTCTCGTTCTCTCTGGGCTTTGCCAGCAGCAGTGCCTCTGTTTCTCTCCGGGCCTCCATGGGGGCTGCTGATCAGCCTTGCCTCTTTGATCAGGCCCAGAGATAGGCCTGGAGATGCTGACTGTCATAGAAACTGACCAAACAGAACCAAATATGGGTGAACTGTGAGGAGCCAGTGGCTGCCTAGGAGGTGGAGCTTTTGATGCTGAGTGGCATAGAAACTGACCAATAAAAACCAAATTGGCCAGCAGGGGAGGACAGTTAGGGGTGATTAGTCAGTCAGAGGCAG